AGCGTCCTGGGATCAACTCCCACATCGGGCTCCCTGCTCGGCAGGAAGCCTGCTTCTCCCTCTCCCACTCCCCCTGCTTGTGTTCCTGCTCTCGCTCTCTCTCTCTCTGTCAAATAAATAAATAAAATCTTTAAAAAAAAAAAAAAAAGAATTTCATAGTAGGAACAGAAAAACGGTCTTTGGACATAGCAGAAGTTTCCAGAATGTTCTTTACTTCCTCTCTCTTCATCATCTAAGGTTCACATGGTCTTTTCCAAACACTGAAATAGATTTTCCAAAATGTGGGAGAACAAAGTATTTGAAAGCAAGTTTTGAATACTGCTAATTAATAGGAAACAGGAGAGGGTTGGGAGAGGTAAAGGTTGTATTTTAAGCTTCTTTTTTCTCCAGGCACAGATCTTGCACTGGGGCAGGCTCACCACACCTGGCAGGATTGTCCACAGGGAGCAGGACTTTGGGGAGCATCTCACCCTGTTGGCATCTTGCTTTTCGTGATTAGCTTTTGTGCAGACCGATGTTCACATGAGCTTATATACCCATAACCCACATCTCCCAAAATGCAAGGGCAGAGAGCCACCCTTGGCTGAAAATGTAGCCCCACCCAGGTGTCTTAAAATTCACTAAGGGTTTTAAGCCTCTAGGAATCATGTGAAAGACATTTAATGTGTTATTAACCTCCCTGGAAAGAAAAAGGACATCTCAAGATAGTTATGGAGGAGAAAGACAGCATTTTCCCCATTTTTGTGGCTTTGAAATAAGGAGAAAAATTTCCTAACTCAGCCCTTGCTCCAATATGTGCCAGCAAAGATGTATTTCCTATTCATTTGTTCTGACCAAACACACAAAAAATATTTTTTAAAGACTGAGAACTTAATTTATGCCTTCAACAATCAAGTTATTAATGGTATAATAATATTCCACAATAAGGTGCACTTGGATATAATACAGTTGGTAACTAACTCCAATCTCCTGTCCAGCCTGTTCCTAAACAGAATGGCTAGGCTGAAGCTCTTATTGGGGTACAGGAAGGACAGGGGTGAGGCAGAGTAGCCCTAGGCTGGAAAGAAACTGTCTGATAATCATTTGGAATGTTCCCAGTTTCACTGACAGTCAGTGTGAACATTATGGTTTCACTATCTTTACATTTGTGCTTATTGTGACAGTACACACCTGCTGATAAAGTTTTCCATTAACTTCATAATTAAAGGACCCTGTATTTTATGCTATTCAATTGTTTTGGACACACATCATAGTGTTACGGTTGCTTATATGGTACTTTCAAGTAGATAAGCCTTCCCTGTAAACTCTCCAGTGTTCCCCAGTTTTCTGAGATAAAAAAAAAAAAATAGGACTGTAGTTGAAGTTCCTTTCACTAGAATTCAGATGAGGGAAAGTAGTCACATGCCTCTTTTCCGAAGGGCAGCACCAGAGACCTGGGTGGCATAGTCAGTTAAGCATCTGACTCTTGATTTTGGCTCAGGTCATGATCTCAGGGTCATGAGATCAAGCCCCATGTCGGGCATGCACTCAGTGTGGAGTCTGCTTCAGATTCTCTCTTCTTCTGCCTTTCCCCTTTGTGCTCTCGCTCTCTCGCTCTCTAAAATAAACAAATAAATCTTTTTAAAAAATTACTTTTGTGAATTCTGTACCAGGAGTCCTGATAAGTGCATTATTTGATATTTCCTGTAGGGAGCTAACATCTGGGTATCTCAGAGGGTTCCATAATGGCACCTGGTGATCATCCAGCCTATACTTGAGCCCCCTGCATCTCTCACCCCACACACACACCCCTCGCAACTCCAGGGTATGTGTATTTCCAGGTCTCCTTTAGGGTATGCACTGGCTTAGCACATGGCCATGGTGACCACATTCCCCCCGAATACGATTTTTTTTTTTTTTAAGATTTTATTCATTCATTTGAGACACAGAGATAAAGAGAGAGAGAGAGAGTGCATGAGCAGGGAGAGAGGCAGATGGAGAGGGAGAAGTAGGCCTCCCGCCGAGCCAGGAGCCCGATGTGGGGCTCGATCCCAGGACCTTGGGATCATGACCTGAGCCGAAGGCAGACGCCCAACCGACTGAGCCACCCAGGCGCCCCCCGAATATGATTCTATCTCAGTGTTTGGGGTCACTTCACCAGAGACCCTGAAGGCAGCTGCACAGCCACCTGGATGCAAATGTAATGCAAGAGAAGCGAATCCAAATGGCAACAGGGAGAAGAAAGACAAATCTGCAAGGAGGCAGAAGGGAGACTCAGAGTCCGGCAGAATTTAATAGTGCAGCTCCAAAGCAACGGCCTAGATTTAAATTCTGGTTCTGTCACTTACTCTTCATTTGTCCTTGAGCAAGTTTCTTAGCTTTCTGTGCCTCACTTTCATAATCTGTAAAATAGGGGGTGATAATACATATCTCTTGTGGGGCTTGAAGCAATTAAAGTTCCTGGCACATAATTAGATTTCCCCAGAAAGCACTCATTACTATTATTGTCGTCATCATTATTGTCCTTGAGTAAAGATTTGGAAATGATGGAGAGAAGTTTTCCCAATTGTGTTCGTTTCCTAGGAATGCCATAACAGATGACCACCCACTGGGTGGCTTGAAACAACAGAAATTTATTCTCTCCCAGTTCAAGAAATCAGGGTGTCTTCAGGTGTCACCAGGATTGGCTCCTTCTGGAGTCTCTGAGGGAGAAAGCATCCCATGCTTCTCTCAGCTTCTGGTGGTTGCCCAAAATTCTTGGTGTTCTTGCCTTGTAGATGCATCAGTCCAGTCTCCACTTCCATCTTCTCTTTGTTTCCTATACCTTCTCCTTTTCTATCTTAGAAGGACACTTGCATTGGATTGAGGGCCCCCACCCTAATCCAGTATGGTCTCATCTTGAGCCTTACCTTAATTACATCTGCAAAGACCCTTATTCCAAATAAGGTCATATTCAGATGTTCCAAGTGGACATGAATTTGAGGGCAATACTAGTCCTCCTACTCCACCAACTGAAAGCCCAGGTTAGGATCAAATCAGAGGAAGAAATTGCCAACAGCTCCTGGAAGAATGTCGTCTAACCTTCGGCATGTTGTGCACTAAAAGGGCTCTGTTGTGTAGGTGATCAAGCGAAATGGGCCAGCTGCCCTCAAGCGCATCACTGAGTCAGAACCAAGTGTCAGCCAGAGTCAACATGTGTACTCTCCTTTAAACGGTGGCAGACTTCTCTGGAGAGAAGCTGGACATACCCAGCAGGGCTAGGCAGCGCCCGCGGCCAGCCCTTTCCCCTGCTCTCTCCTGACACGTTGCATGCCACTGCTGAACCCTGAAGGCATTCTGACCCTGGGTGATGCAATGTAAGAGCCTCGGGGAACTGGATTTTAGTAACACGCTCTGCAACTCACTCGCTCCACTGACCACCTGTGTGGCCTCAGGTAAGATACTTACCTTCTCTGAGCCTCAGTTTTGGCTTCTAAAAACCAGGCATAATATCACCACTAACTTGTAGAGTGGCTCTAAGTAAGAAAACTAACATCGGCAGAAGCTCCCCTTAAATGCCTTCCTGGCATAAATTTCAGTGAGTGGTTGCTGTTATTTTCATCACTGTGAGGTGGTGGCCCCGTCTCTCCCTCTTACGAGGCTTGAGGGTAAGAAGGCCCAAAGGACCATGCAGCAGAGCTGTGAAGACCCATCTACGTCTCTTCCCATCCCACTCCTTCCGCTCTTGGCACACAGTAGACTGAACAACCACACAGTAAATAGCTTCACTAAATGACGCCCCAGCTGCAGTCCAAATATAAGCACGGCTTCAGTGAATGGACTTCTAATAGCCTTTCAGGATTTTGAACCCAACCAAGACAACTCATGACACATTCTCTTCTTTTCATGGCTTAGCCAAGGAACACTGGGCCAAGCAAAGACAACAAAAAGCAGTGCTAGTGCTTTAGTATATCTCCACATTGAAAGAGGCTCAAACACTATTTGGAGGCTCTACATACCTCATCTCTCATGAGTGTGTTTTTATTACTGTATTTACTTGATTACCAAGGTAATTCATATTCATTGTAGGAATTTTAGAACATACAGCCAAGCAAAAAGAATAAAATTATTGCTAATCCCAGATAGACATCTATCCCAGATAGATAGATTTTTAAAAAAAATAATAAATTGTGACGTTTCTCAGTCATTGGCCTTCAACTCATTTTAATAGCTTCCTAATATTCCATTATATAAACATACCAGTATTTATTTAATCCATCCCCCGTTCCAGAAATTTTAACTTGTTTTCAATATCTTGTTGCCAAAAACAAAGCTGCAATGATATGAGTTTATTCCTTATTAATTTTATAAATCTTTATTAATTTGGTATTTATTATCACCCTTCCCCCTTCTCCAAACTTTGCAATTAACCCAAAAATTAATTTCCTTGGTTTATTAGGAACCGATTTTATTGTCCAATCTGAAAATCTGCTCAGCTTTGGCCATACTATCTTAAGCAAGCTCTCTTCTGAGCTGCCTGTGTCCAGTAAATGTTAAGCAGTAAGTACTCTTGGACATGGCTGCCTCCACTCTTGTTTGGGGCATGGGGCTAATGGGGTCAATGTCATGGGCTTCAGGCTCTATGTTCAAAGGCCAGTTAGTTAAGTATCCAAAGACTGTTTGCCTAACTGGAAACAGCTGTTATTTAAATGCTGGCAGTTAGTTTCAAAAGAACTGGGCAAAAGAGCATGGGTGGGTCAACACAAATCCATCACCAATACTGGAAAGGCAGCGTGTTAACAGCTCCATCTTCCCTGTGGAAGACAGCTCAGAAAGGTATCCGTCAAATCACATACAATTAATAAGGCTGTAGAAAAAAGGAGAAGGAATAATATTGGGGAAACAATTGGCTAACCTTACACATCTCTTGATTTACAAGCTTAGTCTCTGAGATCCCCCCTGTTGCTATGTGAGACCAATTCAACAAACATGTTTCCAGTTGCTGGTGGTGGTGTTCTGTAACTGACAATTTTCTCTTCCAGCTGACACAGCGCTTGGCACTGATGATGTATATGATGAGAAGGGTTGCCAGTGTGATGTATCAGTCGAAGACCTCACCCCACCGCTTAAAACTGTCATTCGAGCTATCAGGTTGGTGGAAAACCTTTGACAAAATGAGCCAGAGAACTACCTCTGATTATTTGAATTACTACATTGCTAAGTTCTTTTTCCTACAGGTAAGCCTCCTGAAATAATAGTTTCTCTGCTCCTGTTCATTCACATGCCTATTAAATTCTGAAATATATTTTCTTAATACAAAACTCTACCTTGTTCGGCACAAAGTGTGTTATAAAAGGAGGCAGGATTCGAAATGCCAGGCCGTGCCAGAGAGATTCCACGCGAAGTGGCTTGTCATGAGAATCTGTGGGCTTTGAGGACATTTTGTGTATGGATGCAATTGGATTTTTAAAATTATTTTTATGACTTGATGCTCTGATCCATGTTCTGTATCTTACATCAAAGAAAAATCCCACTAGGTTATTTCAAAACAGGTTGAATTCTAAAAAGGGGAAACCTAAAGTCCTCTGCAGTGACTTGGTCCTCTCTGGCTGAATGTAATGCTAAGCACTGATCTTTTGTTTTTTTAAGTTTTTATTTAAATTCCAGTCAGTTACCATACAATGTAGTATTAGTTTCAGGTGTGCAATATAGTGATTCAAAACCTCTATATAACACCAGTGCTCATCACAAGTGCCTTCCTTAATCCCCATCACCTATTTCACCCATCCCCCCACCCACTTCCCCCCTGGTAACCATCAGTTTGTTCTCTACAGTTAAGAGTCTGTTTCTTGGTTTGTTTCTCTTGTTCCCCTATGATCGTTTGTTTTGTTTCTTAAGTTCTACATATGAATGAAATCATATGGTATTTGTCTTTCTCTGACTGACTTATTTCAACTAGCTTTATACTCTCTAGCTCCAACCATGTTCATGTTGTTGCAAACGGCAAGGTTTCATTCTTTTTACGGCTGAGTAATATTCTATTGTGTATATATACGACATCTTGGTTTTTTTCTCAGATCTTGGGTTAGGGTTAGGATTAGGCTTAGGGTATGTGCCTGGTGTCCTGCATTTCAGAGACCTCTCCAGAGGGTTATTTAGAGTTTAGGAGTAGGGTTAGGATTAGGATTTGGGTTAAGATTAGGGTTAGGTTATGTGCCCAGCATCCTGCATTTCAGAGATCTCTCCAGAAAACAAAACCCCAGACTTCTGCTGGGGTGAAAATACAATTGGCAGCCATCCACCAAGATAAGGCAAGGAGGGGACTTGGGGCTCGAAATACGCTTTAAATAGATACTCAATTTAAAAGTTGATGTTAATGTGCTTCCTCTTCCAATAGAATCTAAAAGAGTACCCAAAGCAACTTACCTTTATGTTTCCAGGATCCACTCCCTCCAAAATTTAGGATCTGGACTAAATAAACTGCTGCAAACTCAGCCTGCCTAGTTTAATCCCTTTGGGAGAATTTTAATCTGTCCATGAACCCTGAGTGACTTTGTTGCAAAGAAGTACCTCTGATCTTTTTGGCCCTCTCTGCCTCTTACCAAAAAGCCAGAAGAAAACTTAAAATATCCAACCCAACTTAGCTATCCAGATACTTAGTCTAATTTCAGAGATCAGCTTGACTGATTATTTGCTTCTATTTTTAGTTGGTCATTTTGTATCATTAGACATTGCTTTACTTGATGTTTGGGAATCACTGGGAAAGCAGAAATGAGTTATAAAGATTTTGATAAATGTTTGTTAAGGCAAAGAAAATCATGGTTGATGAAAATGTGTACCCGAGAAGATACTTAAACCTTGTCTGTAATGGCACCCTAAAAAGAAGTGAAGTAAAACCCAGTTACTTCTCAACAGAACCCTTGAGCAACAAACCCTATGGGTGGAGAAACATACCTTCTTATGTGGCTTGGACCATCCTAGATTATGCTTCTTGTCTCATCATAATTGTTCATTGTTGATACTCCCTGTCTTTCTCAAAATATCCCAGTTTGGACAATTATATGATCACCCCGCCCCTGGGGAGCCTAGAAGCCTTAGGTAATATTTAAGCCCAGAAAACCCAAGGGTATGTAGTAAAATGATGCTTGAAGCCTTCAGTTAAAAGGGACAGAAAGGATCTAGAACTGCATTGTCTAATATGGTGACCAGTGGCCACATGAGGCTAGTTAAATTTGAATTAATTTAAATTAAATTTAACTTAAAATTCAGTTCATCAGCGGCACTACCCACATTTAAAGTGCTCAGTAGCCACAAGTGTCTACTATCCTGGGCACAGAAGCCACAGTGCCTTTGCATCATTGCAGAAAGTTCTATTGGACATTGCTGGGGGAGAAGTCACCTTGAAATTCTTTACATTCATTCATTATATCCCTCAAAGACCCTAAAGTGAAGGTGGGACAATTCATCCGCAGATTAGTCTGACTTGCAACAAGTACCATAAAATCTTATCTAATGGAAACAGATTAGGTTTCCTAAAAGTCGTACTTAACCCAATTTGTTCATTTCCCAAGACCTTCGGAAGCTTTCTGCTTTTGCCTCACAACCTATAAAAAGAATTGTGAGCTGCAAGAAAGAAACCGAAATAGGTTTATTCTGCTAGCTAAGCACTTTAGCGGCAGCTTAAGATTTACTTTTATACCATCCTTTTGAAACTTGCCTGATTTTTGTAAAGTCCTTTGCAGAATTCCCTTGCTTTTCAGAATTCTTTCTTGGTTCTTATTTTTAACAGGACTTTATTATTTACATGTATCTCCTTTTTGTGAATTTCTGAAGCTTTCGGCTTGCTCCTCTGTGACACTCGAGGGCGATGTTTTTCTCCCCCATATCCTGATTCTGAGTTCCCCTTAAAATTCGTGGATTCTCTAAAAATTCAGTAGTTACACTCAATAGTTAATAACTTCATTGGAAATCTTTGACTCGTGATACTACTTACTTTCTAAAAATACATGATTAAAAGACCCACCAGTACAATTGGCAGTTCTGAAAAGGAGTTTACTGATGTAAATCCCTAAATCTTATGCAAAAGTGTCCTTTTCTTGAGTTCCATTAAATAAATAAACTGCATAGCAGTTGACAGGAATGTCTTTGGCCAGAACATACTCATTTCTTACAGCTCACCTGAAGTGGTATTTTATATATATTACGTTCCTGATTGCAAGTGTGAACCATCTATCATTCACCTCTAAAATAGCAACTTTGTTTTGGCATTTTCCTTGTTATTTTTTGGTCTTCTGACTACTTAATATGAATAGTTGAATATGCCTTTTGTCCTCCCGTAGCTCTTAGAATAACAATAGTTTTTCCTAAGAGCCAAATTAAAATTAAGATGTGTAACAGAAAATATGTATTCCACTGCAAGGATGACAATATGGAAAACAAAACCACTGCATCCCCAAAGAGCAAAATAGGAGCTCTTACTTTGGCTATTAATATTTACTAAGCATCTGCCATTTTCTAATTTCTAGTTATTTTGGGGAGTAAAGATTCTCTGGGATGACTAAAGCCACTGTCTGAACTTGTCTGGATTATATTATCCAAATGCACTTTGAGACTTTTTTTTCAATGACTGACGTCACTTTTTATAGTGACGAACAATGGCTATTCTTAGACATTTCCAAAATATGTCTTAAAAATCAGAAGAATACTTAGTATTGTATAATTCCTCCAGGATTATCACAGATTATTCTCAAAATATTATTTAGTGGGAGTGCACAAAGTTGCTGGAAATGTGATTTAAACTCATTACTGGGAGTGAAAATTGTACACTTATTTTTAACAAAAGTTCTGTATCTTGTTAATGATTTAATACAATGTTAATTTTCTTTTCATTCACTCATACAAATTAGTTTCTAAATAGAAAGATGAGGGGCACCTGGGTGGGTCGGTGGGTTAAGCGTCTGCCTTCGGCTCAGGTCCTGGGATTGAGCATGCAGAGTCTGCTTCTCCCTCTGCCCCTCCCCCTCCCCTCCTCCTGCCCGCATGCTCTCTCAAATAAATAAATAAATAAAATCTTTTATGAATAAATAAATAGAAAGATGACATTAGCAGGGAAGTAAACAGATTGACAAGCAAATTGATAAACTCTTGAACATTCTACACACTCACTTTTCATTTTATCATGGCATATTCATTTGTTAGGGCCACCACAACAAAATACCACAGACTGGGTGTTTCAACAACAGAAATTTACTTTCTCCAGTCCTGGAGGCTACAAGTCCAAGGTCAAGATGTCAGCAGTGTTGTTTCTTCTGAGGCCTCTCTCTTTAGCTTGCAGATGGCCACCTTCTCTCTGTGTCCTCGTGTGGTGTTCCCTCCGTGTGTCCACAGATATGGGTCTACATCTCCTCTTCTTATAATAACACCAGTCAGGTTGGATTAGGCCCTACTCTAAGGGTCTTATTTCAACTGAATCACTTCTTTTAAAGCCCTGTCTCCAAATACAGTTACATTCTGAGGTACTAGGGGCTAGGGCTTTAACATGTGAAATAACAATTCAGATAACACCTGGCAAGATACCAGTTTTCCTATCACTGTTTAACAAATACTTTCTCAGGCACAATATCAAAATTTTCAGATTAAAAATAAACCCATCAATTACCTTAAATATGATCCCTCACAATATAAAACGTTGACTGTTACCTTTCAAGCTTGTACTTGGCACTGTGTAAATACTACGTAAGTGAGAATCTTGCACAATATTTCTCACAAAAATTAATATACGCTCATTAATTCAAAATAGTAATATAAATAAGTAATACATAATAAATAAATAATGATGTTTAAAGTTATACTCAATACAAGTCTATATTTATAAAAGAGTTTCAGAATAATGTTTTTTATAATAATTTTTTTATTTGAGTATAGTTGACACACAACACTACATTATTTTTAGGTGTACAATATAGTGATTCAACTTCTCTCTATGTTATGCTGCACTCACCCCAACTGTAGCTACCGTCTGTCACCATACAACACTATTACAGTCTGATTAACTATATTCCCCATCCTATGCATTTTATTCATGTGACTTATTCATTCCATAATTGGAAGGCTGTACCTCCCATTCCTCTTCACTCTTTTAGCCCAGCCTC